TTCTTGTCAGCATGAACAGGCTGCAGGTTTTGTTAGCGCAGCGCAGAGTAGCTCACTTGCACAGTACGCTGTTGTTGGTACTGTCATGAATTGGAAGTGGCTGTGTGGGAATCGCTGGGGATATCAGAAGAACATGAGATGCTTTTCTAACATGCCAGGGTTGATATGCTTTCTCCGCTTCCTGGGAAAGATTTAGTAGCGAGTGTGACGGTAGGACCTCAGTTATAAAAACAAACAGCGTTCAGTATGGCAGAATGAACCGAATCAACAGTCGCAATTAGTTCCACACTTCTTTATTAACTTCCTCCATGTGTACCACACAGAAGACATCCGCGTTTCGCGTTGAAATGCAGTCCTTTGGGGTGGAACCCAACAGCTGTTTTACAGCCCACAGGCACGCTCTCCAACAGCACACAGTACCAACACGGTGCAAGAAAGGAATGGATTAAAATGCTACTGCCAGTCAAAACTGCAGGAGAAGCTTGATGGGTGATATATAATGATCAGGGCTGGCGTCTGGCCAGGAAGCTGGGGTTAATACTGGTTTTCTCGCAGAAACACAGAAGTCTATAATATGGCAGTCCAATAGTGTGTCATCTTCTCTGTTCAAAGTGGTATAACATTGGAGCATTTTATTCCTACCATGGCTTGTCAAACAAAAGGACACGATTTATCTTAAAGCTAATAGGGTACTTAATGTTTTACAGAGTGTCACTCGTTGTTGGAAGAAACGAGGAATTCCTAGGTGGCACGGCAAAGCGAGGAGCAGCAATTCTGTGTGCCCGCACATGTAGCCAGGGCAGCGATATGTGAATTCTGTCAACAAATGTACCCTCCCCCCAAATTCCTCTTTTTCTGCAGTCACCGTCAAACCCTCATGGAATTGAAGGCGTTTTGCGAGGTGGCTGGAAAGAGGCAGGGCTGCTAACTCGCTACGAAGCTCCAGCTGAGTCCAGTATTCCACTGTGTTAGGTGTTACACTGCCTTTCCGATCCTTTTGATGTTTGGGAAAAATCAGCTTGACACTGCAGTCTTAATAATCTTGCTGCATGTGCTGTCTTCTGCTGCAGATTTTCTTTTCAAGCACAGCAAATGTTTTTCTATTGCTGTTTTCTGGTGTTTTTGTTAATTTGGTCTACACCCATCCATTTATATTCTAGTGCTATTGAATGTGGAGATCTGTAAGTCAAGAATGAAAGCTTTGATGAAGGGTGAGTGCTCCACTTGTAACCAGACATAGATCTGGACACTCTGTGTCTTGTTTTAACAACATAATTGCTTCAAGCTCTCCTGCTTAAATCTCTGAAGTCAGGTTCTCTTGCAGGAGCTCCCAGCTCCTGGTTATCATGAGACTAAGATCATGTTAAGCAACCTATTTAAACTGTTACACTCTTAGGTTTTATTTCTTTCTTTATTATTATTCCTCAGGGGCAAAATTCACCCCAGAGGATGCAGCACAGTATCTCGTGTGGCTGCAACTGGCAGCACAGGCGGTGCAGCGTGGATCTTAACTTGGGAAGGTAAAGAGGAGAAGTTCTGCACCGGCCCCTGCATTATCGTAGCTGTTGTGCCTACGATTTACTACTTGAAATCTGAAAGACCTTTATCTAGGATTAACAAGCTACTTGGAAACAGGAGATATTGCAAGTATTTTTTTTTTTTTTTTACATCGAGTTTGCCGTATCTGGTAGTGAGCTGATTCAAGTTTAAGTGGTATATTCCCTGCATGCAGCTGAAAGATTAGTATGGGTAATTTCTGCAGCCCTCTTCCCTTTATAATGGTAATGGCATAGTCTGAGGCTGTTTGTGACTCTAATCCCGATGAAGGTCAAGATGAAGGTCAATAAGAAGCGGGTACCCAGTGCTTTATCCTTCAGGAAATCACCGCCCAGGGGCAATATTCACAAAGGAGCTTCGTTGCTGCAGTGGATTTTGCTTCGGCTCAGCGGCACTCCCAAACTGACCTCCAGCCTCAGTCATACGGTGGGCTTGTCTCCATAACGGGTTCTGCGTTGTCACGGCTTCTTCCTCCAGGAGCAGGGAAATACAAAAGAACAAATATCCTGAAATATGGAAAGGATTTGTCTTGTTGGCTCATCTTTCTTTCCGTATCAGGCTCGTCTTTGAGACAAGTGTTGCCATCAGCAGAAAAGCTTAAAGAAGGAACGTGTTTTCCTGCTTTCAAATAACTGGGGCCAGGTGCTTCTTTGCATAGCTTGATACAATTTGGAATGTGAAGGGTGAGGGGATGTATAGATCTTGCCTACACCCAGTTTCTTTTTTTATTTTCTTCTTTTTATCCCTTGGTTTGATTTTGCTAGTGAAAGCACTTACACAGAGATTCCTCGGGGACGAGCCAGGCTCAGAGACATTCTTGCATCTCTGTAATGCCAACATGCTTTCTAAACATCTCCCATTAACTTCCCCACCTGAAAGAAAGAAACCTTCATTATCACCTTATTAGGAAAGCTCACGTTATTTTTCCCTTCAGTGTTTCCTCTGTTGCTCTTGCTTTGGTGATAAGAGAGTTTGAATAATGCAGCTGACTCCGTGTGGTGCTGCAGAACTGTTGTCTTCAGGCAGTTCCTTTCCCACAGCCCGTGTGTGTTTGCCTTCTCGTATTGATGGTATATGCTCTTAGGAGTAATATACTGCATCCTGAACACCAGTCCCCTTCTATCCTCTTCCCTCTCCTGCTCTATTCCCTTCTTTAACAGCTAGCATCTGTCCGATGGTTATATCGGAATTAGTCCTTAAGAAATTAACCAGTTATAGTTGGAATCTCTTACACAGGGCTAGTTCTTCCACAGCTAAAAATAGAGGGAAGCTGAGACCTTGTTGCCTCTTAGTGAAAGGTAATAATCTATATCGTGATTTGAGCATTTATTTAATTAAAGACCTTATATTGTTTAAAGAGACTTGGCAAAGTGATTCGATGTCTCGGGGGATTGGTAATAGGATACAAACCTTTTCACCTCTAGGTCTGTAGTTCAAGTCTAACTTCTGCTGGTGGCCAGAAAGTGTTGTATGTGGTCAGTGGGCTGTTGAAATACATGAATCGTTTTTAGCTCCCTTTCTGACTGCGCTGTTCTCTCCCCCCTCCCCCCCCACCCCCCCATTCTTGCACAAACATTTAATATAGAGCAAGGAAAGTACTGAATTAGAACTGGAACTGCTAATTGGGAACCACCACATCCTGTTTGCAGAGATAAATTAAAAGGAATGTTGGATCAGTGCACAGTGTTTGTTTTTCTATAGTGGTGCTTTAACCAGTATATGGTTCTTCTACCCGAGGATTTAAGTTGCATTTAGGCATCTTAATTATTTTAATCTCAGTTACAGAAAATCAGTGCTATCCTGCCTTTCTGGGTTAGGAAACTGAGGCAGAAATGCTGATTTTTCTTATAAAAGATTCACTGAAGCATTGTTTGAGAAGGGATCCGCTCTGTCTGGTTCCTGGGTGTACACTTCAGCCAGGAGATTTTTCCAGCACTAGTAAAATTAAAAAAAAAATAAAAAATTATGTGGGAAACAGATTCACCTAGGTGTACAAAAGGAACCTTTAACGCAAAGCATCTCTGTCTTTTTTTTTTTTAAAAAAACAAACAGAAAAGTCGATACTAGCCTGGTAGATAAGTGGATAGAATCAGACGTTAGTTAGTTAGTTCCTCTGTCAATCAGTATATTATAATGAGCTACAAACCAGGAGGGAGGGGATAGGAAGAGAGACTCGTTATTCTTTCTCCTGTCTATTTATGTGCTGATTAAAGATGTCACACCAGGCATACTGAATGGAGATGTTCTTTCTGTCCTCAATTTATTGGAAGTAAGATTGAATGTAGTAAGCTGCTTGGATGCCATGACCATCCTTGTGATCCGTTATCCGGAAGCATCCCTATTCATGGTTGAGGATGTTGATAGGAAATAGAAATAATATGCTCTGGCATTAGTTGTTACGGGAAGAATTTATACCCTGCCTTGTAACAGGACTGGAATCTATAATAATTCCCAAATGCACCAGGCTGTATATAGATGTTTGGGGTTCGTAATGAGAAGATTGATTGGTGCGGTGTATCTTAATTAACTATATCCACGTGGTTGCTGTGTGTTGGGTGCTCTGCAGCCTTTCCTTCTCCCCTGGTTGCCAGGCTGCCAGGCACCTTCAGCTTCCGTGACTGCAAATGTCGGTGTCGGAGGAGTTTTGAAGGTGGTGGTTACGACATTGTGGTTTTATAAGTTTCCAGGTCGTTATGAATTACAGAAGAGCGCACACTGCATATCCTGGTTTTCATGGCATGACTGGAAAATGACTTCTCCTATCTGCGGCTCTGCCTTAAGGAAACATTAAGAGACAAAATGGGCACAAGAGACACAAGTATGATGAACATCAGGAATCTGGTCCTCCTCCTAAAGTTTATGGCTGTTAAGATTCTGTGGGTTTTGGTTTTAATTCAGACTCTTAACAGAGATGGTGAAAACTCTGAGATTTGGGGGTTGGTCCAGACCAGATTGTGAATTTGCAGGAGCATAAGAAGTTATACCACGTTTGGGCTGTCATACTGTCACATTTCATCTTTTGCTTTTTATTTTTGTCATGGCAAAACCAGACTGAGAGTGCAGTCTTACAGTGAGTGTGTATTTTGCAAGGAATGCTGACAATTTGCATGCTTAGGCAACTCCGAGGATGCTGTAATGCCAAGTCCCAAGGAAGAGTGCGCTCCCTGCCTGGTGTGCTTGTGTGTTCTGAGATGAGAAAAATTTGGTGGTGCTTGCAGGAATTTTGTACATCTCCTAGTTGATGATGTTCTTATGTTGAGATTGAATGTAACCTGATTTTATGAAAGTTTGGCACGAATCCATGCAATTAGACACTAAGCACTTCCTTTCCTCTAGTTTCCCTTAGATCTCACAGAATATTTAGCAAAGCAGGGGCTTGAACGCCTTATGTCGGAGTGCACAACCTGTACCAGTGTATGTAATTCTCTTCTTTCTCTTGACAGCTGGTCCTGGCTGAAAGCTCCCACTCTGACACAGGCTCCCAGTGCACCGAGAGCCACACAGACCTTCCACCACCCATCGAGAGAACAGGCGGCATTGGAGACTCCCGGCCTCCATCATTCCAGTAAGAGCAAGTCATCTTTTTTTTTAATTTTAAAACAAAAAGTGCAATTCCTGTTAGTTTCTGCCCCACATTTCTCCCTGCTGCTGCAAACCAGCTGTTTATTGTTATTGTTAGAAAAATAATATGCTTATTAGAACTGAGGAATTAAAAGGGGGATTGGAAGAAAAAAACCCTGTCATCGTTAGAATGAAATATGTATCCTATATATCCCATTTTGAAACCCACTTTGGAAGAGTTAAGTAGAGAGGTAGCCCAAAATGCTTTTCGTAGTGTACGGATGATAACCTTTTATTACTGTGTTATGTATAATTATGTAGTATACAGAGCCAGCAGGACACTGCTATCAAGAGCAAAAATTTACATATGGAATGATGTCTTCTCCATGTGCGTACAGAGGCGAGCAGCTTGAACTGGGAATAGTCAGACTGGGAGTCATCTGATTCAATGGTAGCCTTGTTATGTCCTGGTATGTGTGCAGAGCCAGTGTGAATCCTCGGAATGGCTTCATTTTGAGGGAGGCCCTCTGAATTTACACAAGGAGGATTTAAAGCAGGACCTGGTTCTAGCTGTGATCTTAGTATACATTTAGAGGAGGAAATGTGGTCTTGATTTGCCTGGTGGCACGTATTTCCATTGCTTTCTGGGAGATCTATTGCCTCGAAGGGTCCTGAGTGTTGTGTCTGAGTCTTTTGCAGATAAATGCCTTCTAGAGGGGACAAGAAATCTTGGGAAATACTAACCGTGCCTGACACTGTGTGTCTTGCAAGGGATTTACTGCCCTCGTGCGTTCATGAATTGCTTTATGTTGGCTGGGAGAGGCCTGTAGGAGTGCTGTCACGTAGCCTGCAAATAGAACTAGTTCTTTGTCTTCCAGACCTATACCTACATGTAATAGCTGCAAGATCAAACTTTATTTTAAAAAGTAAGTACATTATTGTAAGCACGTCTGTGTTTGTGGAACCACTCACTGCTAATAACTACGTGTACTCAGACCGATGAAATTGAAGCTGTGCTCTGCTGATGCACCCGCTGTCTTCCATAGCGTTCTAAAAATTTTCTCTGTGTCGTCGTGCCGTCAGTCAGCGCAGTGCTGCAAGTGGTGGTACTTTCATATTACGAAGCAAATGTGGGAATCCTCAAAGGGGTGAAGGAACCTACGCAGGTCATGCTGAGTCAGGAGTAGCAACGAGGGAGGTAGTGCTTTCTGGCTTGTGTTCTCTTTCCTAGATACACCACCTTCCTTCTTTTTTGCTCCCCCACCCCTTTTTTCTTTCTTCTTTTAAACTGCAGTAGAGACTCTGGCTTGTGGGAAGGTCTTCTGGACTAAAACTTGTTGTCCCTTAATGCCTTTTTTGGTCCTTCTCTTCACAACTGAATGTCTTAACACTTTGCAGTGGTTTTTGCTGTTGTGTTTTATTTTTTCAATCCAGAAGAGAGCCTAAGGATGACCTAAGTTTATTTCCATAACGCAGGGCAGGGTATCTCACTTGGTTATTCTGCATGAAGCCCTTAATTCTGTTTCCCTATTAGAATTTCATTTTAAAGCACACCCAGTTTAGGTTTAAAGATTCCAAGTGATAAAGAATCCACCGTATTTTGAAATTATTTGTTTCTCCTGGATAAACAAAATAAGTTGAGCAGGTCTTTCATTGTAAAGTGTGGCTTCCAGAACTTGGATCATGACTGTAGTTCTCCTCTGATCACTTACAGTTCTCCAGCAATCTTTGAGAATTATTGTTTCTTGGGATTTTAGTACGGTAGTTCTGCAATAGTGTGTCCATTGCCATTTCTCCATACTGTCTCTTTGAATAATATTTCCCTTTAAGAGATCAGTAGTGCAACCCTGTAACTCTCACAGCTGTAACTCCAGTATTTCTGTATACTCACGTGTCACCTCCCCTTCTGTAAGTGTGACTTAGCTTCTTGGTTCCTAAATCCCTGAAGTTTTTTTGATGCCATTCAAACTACCAGAGACCTAGTAGTCTACCAGGACCTAACTGAGTTAGCTGCTGTATAATTGTACGAACAGAAATGTTGCTGGACAACAAAGAATACAAGAAATAGATGGAGCAGACAGGTCAGCAGGCAATACCATCCAAGGGAATGAGATCCTTATCAGAGCTGAAGTGGTAATCTCAACTAGCTGCCTGACAGCATTGCTATTTTGCTTCATAATTGATGAAATCCAAAGAAAATTTACTTTTTCCCTCCCCAGTGAGGGTTCTGAAGTTCATCTTGTATTTCATGTTCCGCTCCTTCTGTTTAGTGGCTGCCAAATCCCCGTTCGCCTGAATGGGTGAGGCTGCTCCTGGTTTAGTGGTGGAGGTGGAGTGAGTTGGGAATAGTGACCTCTGAGCTATACCTCCCTTACACTGCTCGTGGGTACGCGCACGGAAAATTGAACTGAATTTAACTGGCTCAGCAAGAGAGAGGAAACAAGGCAGCTGTGAGGTTCCTTTTGCACCCTCTGTAGGGGTGTAAACCACCTTTTGTAGGCGGGTTTAGCCTAGGAAGCAATTTGGTAGTGGGAAGTATCAGCAGTAGTCACTAGATGGTGGTGCTGAGATGGCTGAGAGTTTCACAGGGTGACCTTAGGAAACTGTCACCCTCTTTTTTTCAGCTGTACCGGACTGAAACAAGAAATGCGAACGGACTTGTGACAACACTTAAATACATACTTGCATTTCAGTGGCTTCATTAGGGCTTAAAATGTGCAGTCTTCTTGAATAACAACCTTGGTTTCCTAATTTGTGTGCTGGGCATGTCAGTGCATTTCTTTAATGTAAAGAAAGTGCGTGGGTGTGCAGAAGGCTTTTCAGCAGCTCTCTTAAATGTAGCACTGTGCAGATGTGCTTACACATGTTCCAGTTCTGGGTCCAGCTTCCGCAGAAGCCCATGGGACCCATTGATTAGATTGTTGGTAGTTTAATTCCCTGTGGAAAACGTGCCTGGCAGTGTACTGCGGCCTCATGGAATTCTAGGAGAAACACGTTAATAACTCTGATGCTTTGGTGTAAGTGTAATGACGGCCATTAGGCACTCTGTCTGCATAAGTAGGACATGTCAGGCATAAATAACAGGTGCAAAGGGCAGATGTGAATTGGGATTCCTTTTTAAATAGGTGGTATTTGTGGGACAGAGAGGCAGAATATGACTGGTAACTTCCTAAGGGAAATCTTTCACACTGGAGCATTAGCCCACATCAGATCATGCGCTATTATACTTTCAGGAGCTTTAGATCTGTTTCCACAAGTCAGCCCATTCAAATGAGCTATGGCCTTTGCGCGCACTCCAAGAGGCTTTTCTCATTTCCTTCCATGTGGGCACCTCAAGGTAGCTTATTAAACGTAAGAATAGCAGAGATACATAAATCAGATTGAGTCTGAAGGGAAAAGCAGGGGGGGAAAAGAGGGTCTCCATCTGCCCCTTTCCTCCAGCCAACTCTCCTTTAACATGACTGATTTTTTATTTTTTATTTTCCTCAGCAGAGATCTTGAAATAGATGACTGCAAATAAGTGGTCTTACATATTCAGTGTTCAGTATTACAGCCACTGCTCTTGGTTTGCTGACGTGACTTTTCTGTCAGAATTAGAAGTGAAAGCCAGTCTGGTTTATATGAACTGAGAAATGGCCCTTCCTCAATGCTTGGAAGCTCACGAGTAGAGAGCTGTCATTGCTGTTTGTTTAAATTCATGCCAGAAAGTGGCCCCAAACCGTGGGGACAAATTCTCTGCTGCCTCTTTGAAACCTTTCTACTGCCTAATTGCAGTAGCGAGAAAGTGACTCTCAGTAGCGCTCTCACAAAAGCAGAGTGGAAGAAATCTGGCCACTGACATCGTCACCAAGATCTTTCTGCTTTTTGCCCAAAGCTGACTTGTTCATAATGGTCCTTCACTGGGACTTACTAGATTAATGTTATGCTGGCGTATCTGTGTAGCCTTCAAACAGTTGAGAACATGAGGAAAGGACCTGGGGTCTATTTGTACGTTTCACAGACATGCATTTAATTATTTGGAGCTTTGCTGGGACTTGCAAGACTTCAACCTTCAAGGTCAGCGCTCTATATTAAAAGTGACCGCGGTGAGCTATAGCTTCTGCCCTTTGGCTGTCAGCATGCCGCGTATCGAGCTCGGGCTATTGTCAGGAAAACAAACCTGTTCAGGGATGAACAGGCACTTAGGAAGTGAGCTGAAACACTGGGTTTGGTTTAAAAAAAAAAAAAAAGGATATATTTGGATATTATAGAAAAGGGAACTCAATTCGCAGGCTTGAGGATGAGCCCCTGATAGAACATGTCATCTGTTGGGGTTGCTGGTGCCTGTATGTATTTCTTGGAACTGTTGTCTTCAGAATGAGCGTGGGAGGGTTTGAGAGATGCATAGGAACTTGGGGTGTTTTGGAGGCTGAGATGAGTGTTAGGGTCACTAAGTTTTGTTTTTCCAAAAACCAGTTTGTTCTTGTGTTTGGCAGGTATGCTGCAAATTTGTGATAATAAAGCTCTGGTGATGGGACTGCGCTGAAATCCAAATTCCTTTGCAAGTGTGTTAGCAGCTCAAACTGTCTTGTAGTCAGTTGTCATCTCGGCACGTGCTAAAATGATCCCTTTTCTTAGCGCACCTGAAGACTTTTTTTTCCTATGGAAATTTCATGCAACAGTCTTGTGGCAGCTTCTTCAACGTCGTGTTGATACCGCTTGTTCAGATAGCGCTGTGTCTCCGGGCATGGATATTGAACTGCCTTTTCATCCTTCGGGTCGTTTTGGGGTGAGCAGAGCGGTCTGGGGGAGCTTGCAGTGCTGCAGCAAGACTGCAGCTAATCTGTGTAATAGTTTTCTGACTTCTAAACCAACACGCTCACGACTGCAACTGTTTTTATCAAAAAGAAAAAAAGATGACTCCATTGATTCTTCCGATTTGTTCTCTAACAGCCCCAATGCTGCCAGCAGCCGGGACGGCCTGGACAATGAAACAGGAACAGAGTCAGTTATTAGCCACCGGCGAGACAGACATCGACGGAGAAACAGAGAAGGGCACGAGGATGGTGAGTCCTATTTCATTTTTCCCCTTTTTCATTTAGAAAGAACAATTTTTCTGGTAATCTTTTGGAGCAACAACTACTTTTGCATCAATACTGCAGAAGAGACGTGTCTGCATTCTTGCGTGCTTTCAAGGACTATTATTTTAATGGAATAATTTGATAATTGCTTTGAAACTCTTTGAAGCTCAGCATTTTCTAAGAGGTCTGGACAACCTACAGTAAAGTGGCAGAGGGATTCTTTTTGATGGTATACAGAACTTTCTGTAGTATTAGAAGATGATTAGCTTGGAGTGGAATAATGACACGCAGTGCTGGGCTCTCTCACGGCTAGGCTGCCCCCATTACTCAATTTCAAAATTATTCAGTTTGCTCATTTAAAGGTAGAACACATTATCTGTATGATGTGTTGGGAGTTTGCAGTGTAGACCAGTTGAGACTCAGTGTTTTAACATTGCAAGATCTGAGCCAAAATCCTTTTGAAATAATTTCTGCCAATTTCTCTAGGCTTGGATCAGCGGTAGTGTTTTATGCGGGTATTACTACAGCACGTTGGCTCTGAAGATCTTTTTTAATACGTAAATACACCCAAAGTACACTTATAAACTACAGAACTTCATCTCTTGCCTCTAGTCTGTACATCAAAGTAAGCTTGGGTTTTTTCATTTGTTGCCAGACCAGAATTTCCAGGCTTAATTAAGAATTAATAGGTGCCACCCATTGAGTTTAAAATGGCCCAGTATTCCATATATACTTGGGCACAAGAGATGCCATCACAGCCTTTATGCACAGCTCCACCCACTAAAGTATTTGCCTCCAGTTAGAAGACCACAAGTCATATATATACTGTGGGTTAGAAGCAGGTGTCTTTCTGTTCATTTAACCCTTCCAACTTGTAGCTGACTCAGAGTGAATGAAAATTACTCGGTGGGTGGAGCAAAGAGCTGTCTTTGCACGATCCTGACTCCAGATTCCTTTGGGAAATCACAGAAAGAGGCAGAATCTTCTAATAGCCTTGTGTTAAAAACTTGTTACAGGAACAGTGTGAAAAGGTGGTTGGTTTTTAACAGCAGTTTAAACTAGCGCGTGTTTTGCCACGGACATTGGTGCCCAGAGAGCCAGTTGTTGAATGGTTGGTCTGGGACCATAGACTGGATGGCTCGTACGGGATTGTTTGGGCACAGGAGCTTCTGCCTTCTAGTGGTCTGAAACTGGTCCATACTTTTCCCTTTAGATAGAAATGGGATAAAATTTCCTTCTTCTCCTGTCAGTCTAAGCTGTGCTCAGGCAAGAACATGTCGCTCAGCAATGCAAACATCACCTGTTCCCAAAGCAATTTCGGGCTCCTACCCAAAGCGGGCTATGCGTAGGAGCAAGAGCTGAGTTTTGTTAATGTGCATAAAGCAAGGACAACTGCTGTATCATTTTGGTCTCATGAAAGATATTTAATGTCCATAGTGTTCTGTGGTCATAATAATATTTTATTTAAAAAATCAAAACCACCAGTGTGTTATTTTCAGTTGAAATCACATCTCCAAAATGCACAGTTCAGCACTACATCCTGAACTGCCACTTTAAAAGAAGTGTCCTTTTTTCTCCCTTATCCTGGAGAAGGATTTTAAGGCCTGTGTGACTAACAGTCACCCATTAGCAGAGTCATTCTTTTCTTGAGTCTTCATGTTGTCTTTGTCTGGAGCACAGCTGGATGTAAAATGGGGTAACAGTCACAAGAGAAGAGGGGGACAAGGGTGGAGGAAGAGCAGCAGGGTTGTGACACCCGGTTCAAAGCTATTTCGGGGGCAGAAGCCGTGTGCTCGCTTGTCATTATGAAATAGTGGTAAATCCTCCTTTCCCTGCAGAAAGAAGGAAATGCAGTTAGAGTGTTTGATCTTGTCCTGTAGGGACTTGTTTAAATAATACCAAAATTACAGCTCTAGTAGTTCACAGAGGCAGGGTGAGGGATCTTCCTTGCAGCCCTGCGTTACTCAAAGGTTTGTTCCATAGGTATTATGATGCGGAGTCGCCAACCTGCCAGCTCGCCAAACTGGACCATAACATGTACCGTGGAGTGTTTGTAACTGTTTGAGGTCATTATTGGTATAAAGTGAATGACAAAGAACTACCCACCCTAACAATGGGGATATCCCTGGATACTCTGCAAAGGGAAAGAGGTACTCATTCCACAAGAAGAGATGAAGAGGGTATTGCAGCCTTCATTTCGAACAAGGGAAGTGAGAAAAGGTGCTAATGAGCCATTTGGGAACTGCATAGATGTAGTATTGAGTTAAAACCCGTACAGGTCAAGCAAGCTTCCCTCCACTGGTCCCCAGTCGCTGTGGAACTGAGAGGTTCGACAGAATGAGGTTCTTGTTCTGACTTGGGAAGACCCCAGGGCAGGGAAGAGACGGGAAGGAAGGATTTTTGTGTGTCTGTGCGTGAGGACAGTGTATGAATTAAAACATGTTTATTGCCGATTTGTTTCCTCTTTGTTTTGCGGTGACTGCTATTCAAAATGCTCACAGGGCGAAGTATTATATGGAGAGCTCAGAACAGACAGATGCTTTGCCCTGAGTAGCTGATAGTGGGAATTTCTCAGGACAAAAGCTGGCAGGGAAAACAGGCATGGGGAAAAGGGAGTTTTTCTCTCCAGCTACTGTTGATATTAGAAAAAAAAAAAAGTATTGGAACTCCACTCCTCAAAGAATTAAACGTTTTCTTTGTCATTTCTGTCCTACTCTCCATTTTAATTTGCACAATTTGTTCCCTAATTGTACAACCGGCTGCAAAACTTTGTCGGATAGATGAGTCTGACAGCTTGTGCTTGAGCTGCAGCAGGTTTCTTACAGAGAGACAGTCAGTTTTGATTTGAAGAGTCTCAGTGATGGTAAACTAAGCAGATTCTCTGATGGATGATAATTAGAAGTGTGGTATCATGGGCGGATTGTTCACAAATGCTAGCCTGTGTGCTTTACTTCATTGTTGCAGGATTACTCATCATAGGAAAAACTATTTCTGCTGAATTGCTAACGGGCAATTACAGACATACATACAGGGGCCATTATAAATATTGATGGCGTACTGCAGCCAGAAGATGTGCGACACACCTGGTGATCTGACAGAGTTTTCACACCTCCTTCCATTGAAAATGCAAAAGGGTTTTGCAGCGGAGAGGCTGTGATTTCCTAGACCAGGGATGGACTCTGGTAACAACACAGGCTGGGGCATTTGCAAGCTCTGTATCCAAAGAGGTTTTTGTATGAATTGGAGAATATGTCTTTTCCTGATCACCTTTCACACTAATTAGTAGCAAATCTATCCCTGGCATTACCTTCATACGAAATTAGTCTGAAAGTTGAGCTGTCGATATGTTAGAGCTCCGCTTTCTCTCTGAAAGCAACAGAAGTCATTGTTGCTTTGGAAAGTTGACGGTCCTATTAAGTGAAAGTAGAGTGAGGATCTTAATTAGAAGGGTGGGAGGTCTGCCTGGCACATGTTTCTGGGACCCCTTGCTGGCGAGAACAAAGCTCCCCCCTCGGTTTCCTGAGGAGGAGTGGGAAAGGGGACTGTGGAAGCTCTAATTAGGGAGGTAATTAAGGGACAAGTTTGCTTTGGCATTGGAGAATGTTTTATAGGCACTGCTGGGTTTCTGACGAGTCTGCGGATGTCAAGTGTCGACACCAGTGTTTCACCACTGCCTTTGCTGTGGGGTGAACTTAACTATTGTGCAGCCAGCTGAAAAATGCTGGATAATGACCTGTGCTTTGAGAAGCTCTTAATGTGGACACGCTTGTAGATCCCCAGATGTTTGGGAAGAGGAGCTGTTGCAGATTTCCAGTCACTGCTGCAGTCTGTGGATTCTTTACCATAGTGCGTGCCAAGGAATCTGCACAAGAAAGGACTGGGACTACAACACGGTTGCAATGGGGACTTTAACAGGGGTAGCTGAAAAGTCCAGTTCCCAGCAATTGTTGCTCTTTAGGGACTCCGTCATGTCTAAACAGCTCTGAGGGGGCTGGTGAGCTCCTGGAGTTCCGCAGTGACTGGATGGCCGCGCGTGGGATAGCGGCAGTGTCGCGCTGGGTGCCTGCGAGAGCCGGAGCGCTGTTACGCCTTGTGATGTGTCTCGAAGCCTTTCCCTGGTAGCGCTGTAGAGCGACGAGAGAGGCAGTTTAAGGGTTCCGAAGAACTTCAACCACGAGACGAGCGGTATAGGGGTATAGGAGGCAGATGGGCGCAAGCGTAAAGCAGGAGGGGACAGTGCAGTCCTCGTCACCCAGACATGCTGACCCTGCGCGGCAGTGAGCTGCACCGAGGGACTCGCGAGCCTTCAGTGCAAAAGCGGTGACATATTTCCCGTTAGTGATTGGCAAAGACTTTCTGCATTGGTGGGGATTGGAAGCTCTGTTGTTTTTTCTCTTAACTGGGAGCCTGGCTGTGACTTCTTCCGAGATGCTCTCGCCTTTGTTCTCCGCAGTGGCACAGAGAACCCTCTTCACAGCTTCCTTCAGCAGATGCCGCTCCACTCTTTTCCGCTTTCAAGCCTTGTTTGATTTAGTACTTTGATGTGCTCTTGTCCCTCAGGCAGGGCCTACTCCGCTGTTGATAAAAGTCAAGGAGGACGTATTTTAACCTCCCTAAGCTATGCTTTATTCTAATCTCTGTGACACACTGAAAGGCTTTTCTCAGACCCTCTCGGGGAACTCTGTCGTCCTCTAATGAAGACGCAGGAGCAGGAGGTCAGCGGGGCAGAAAGTCCCTGGTTGTTAGTGGGACAGGCACTGAACCGGAGCCGAGAATGGTCCTTGTTGAGGCTAAGGACTGGGATACCTGGGAGTGTTTTATGAATAAACCCCTTATAATCAAGGGTTGTGAAAGTGCTCTCTCAATTATAATAAAGGTTCCCGACCCCCGTGCTCCAAACAATGTTGGCTACGTTAGAAAAACGTAGAAAAGGAAATTCTAATTGGGGAGAGAGATTACAAAAACTTTATGATTTTTAATGCGCA